GAAGTTAGTCTCCTGGCCTGTGCCAAGGGTCTGGTAGGAGGCTGTGTCCACACAGAAGACTTTAAGTTCTTTACAAGAGACTTGAACCAAAATAATGATGATGAAGGGGCATAAAATATTCTGTAAAAGAATGAACACCACTGTTTGTATGAAGACGTGATTTCTCGCTGACCCCGCCTCCGGGGCCACTGACCTCTGCTGTCTCCGCAGTGTTGCTTTTCCAGAAGGTCCAAGCGGCGGCCCCGCCGACTGAGGTCCAGTGAGGTGCTCTGTGCCTTTTCGTGGCAATGCTATCTTTATAGATCTTAAAAAGGACCAATGAGCCTGTTGCAAGCATTCTTTCCTCGTCAGAAAGACAAGGTGGTGTAATGAATACTTTGGAGTGCGAGAATTTAGGAACAACATCTTTTCTACAATGTTTGGTGGACGTGTCCCCAGCTCTCGGGTGTGGTGAGAGGGCTCTCTACCATCCTTCTGCGGACGGGACAGAGAGGAGCAGACTATGCCTCACTAACAGTGACGTCCCACGAAAGGACACGAACTTCATTCCTTTCCAGCTGTGCCTTCAAGTACCAGTTAATTCAACAAGTCTGTAGTGAGCATGTTCTAGCTGCAGCCAAGAAAATGTAGATACAAAAGGTACAGACCCGGCCCTGGCTGGGTAGCTCAGTTGGTTAGCGCATCGCTGGATACACGGAGGTTGTGGGGCAATCCCTGGTCAGGGCACATATAAAAATCAACCAATGAATGCATGAATAAGTGGAACAAAAAAATCCATGTTTCTCTCTCTCCCCCCCTCCTCTCTCTAAATCAATAAAAGATAATTTTATTTTTGTTTATTTTATTTTCTGTTAATCCTCACCAGAGGATATTTTTCCATTGATTTTACATAGAGTGGAAGGGAAAGAGGGAGAGGGGAGAGAGAGAAACATCCACGTGAGAGACACATCTACTGGTTGCGTCCCGCATGACTCCGACAGGGGTTAGAGATGGAGCCTGCAACCCAGGTATGTGCCCTTGACCCGAAATCGAACCTGAGACCCTTCGGTCCACAGGCCAATGCTCTAACTGCTGAGCCAAACCAGCCAGGGCAATAAAAAAAAAAATTATTTTTATTTTTTATTAATTAATATATTTATTTTCGTTACAGATGTTTCTCCTTTTCCCCCCACTGATTCCCCCCTCCTCCTCCCTCCCTGCCCTGTCCCCAGCTTTGTGTCCATGTCCATTGTTCATGCACACATGCATATAAGTTCTGTGGTTTATCTCTTCCCCACCATCCCCTCTTCTGGGGATTGTCAGCCTGTACCCCACTTCCACGTCTCTGGGACTACCCCATTCCTCAGACTGTTATGTTCATTATATTCCACAAATAAGTGAGATCATATGATACTTGTCTTTCTCTGTTTGGCTTGTTTCGCTTAGGATAATACTTTCCAGGTCCCTCCATGTCGTCTCAAAGGATAAGAGATCTTTCTTTCTTACAGCTGCATAGTACTCCATTGTGTTTATGTACCACTGCTTTTTTATCCATTCGTCTACTGATGGACACTTGGGCTGTTTCCAGATCTTAGCTATTGTAAATAGTGCTGCTATGAACATGGGGGTACATATATTCTTTCTGATTGGTGCTTCAGGCTTCTTAGGGTATATTCCTAGCAGTGGGATCACTGGGATCAAATGGCAGTTTCATTTTTAACTTTTTGAGGTAACACCATAGTGTTTCCACAGTGGCTGCACCAGTCTGCATTCCCATCAGCAGTGTACTAGAGTCCTCTTTTCTTCACACCCTCTCCAACACTTGTTGTTTGATGATTTGTTGATGGCGGCCATTCTGACAGGTGTGAGGTGATACCTCATAGTTGTTTTAATTTGCATCTGTCTGATGATTAGTGATGTTGAGCATTTCTTCATATGTCTCTTAGCCATGTGTATGTCCTGTTTGGAGAGGTGTCTATTTAGTTCCTCTGCCCATTTTTTAATTTGGTTTTTTGTCTTCCTTTTGTGGAGTTGTATGAGCACTCTATATATATTGGAAATGAGCCCCTTATCTGATATATCATTGGCAATGATGCTCTCCCATACAGTGAGTAACCTTTCTGTTTTGATGATTGTATCTTTTGCTGTGCAGAAGCTTTTGAGTTTGATGTAGTCCCATGTGTTCATTTTCTCCTTTGTTTCTATTGCCTTAGGTGATGTATCAGTAAAAATTCTGCTGCGTATGATGTCTGAAATTTTGTTGCCTACAGTTTCTTCCAGGATTTTTATGGATTCATGAGTCACATTTAAGTCTTTTATACATTTTGAGTTTATTCTTGTGTAGGGTGTAAGTTGATGGTCTAGTTTCATTTTTCTGCATGTAGCTGTCCAATTTTCCCAGCACCATTTATTAAAGAGGCTGTCCTTACTCCACTGTATGCTCTTGCCCCCTTTGTCAAATATTAATTGAGCATATTGCCTTGGGTCCATTTCTGGGTTCTCTGTTCTGTTCCACTGGTCTATATGCCTGTTCTTGTGCCAGTACCAGGATGTTTTGATTACAGTGGCTTTGTAGTATAACCTGATATCTGGTAATGTGATCCCTCCAACTTTGTTCTTCCTTTTCAAGATTGCTGAGGCTATTCGAGGTCTTTTTTGGTTCCATATGAACTTTTGAAATAATTGTTCTAGTTCTGTGAAGTATGCTGTTGGTATTTTGATGGTTATTGCATTGAATCTATAGATTGCTTTGGGTAGTATGGACATTTTAATGATGTTAATTCTTCCAATCCATGAACAGGGTATGTGCTTCTACTTTTTTATATCTTCCTCTATTTCTTTTTTCAATGACCTGTGGTTTTCTGCGAATAGGTCCTTTATTTCTGTGGTAAAGTTTATTCCTAGATATCTTAATTTTTTTGCCGCAATGGTAAATGGGATTATTTTCTTAGTTTCTCTTCCAAAAAAAATTTTTAAAGATACAGTCTCTGCCCTACAAGGACTTCCATGCTAGAAAAGAGCTCCCCCTGGAGGCCATCTCCCTGGCCTACATCCCATTTCCAGGGCCATCACAGACTTCTGAGGACACTCTGAACCGTACATCATAAGAATTCCTGAGAACCCCTGAGTACCCTGAACTGCAGCGTACCCTGAACTGCAGCATACCCCCAACGAGAATTCCCTCTGTGCTAGAATTTCTGAAAGAATTCTTCCCATTTTACCATTGTGATTACTGGTGTTTGGGATATGATTCCAAAGTTGGGGGACAGTAGGTTGGGAAATGCCAGTGACATGGGTGCTGGGGAGGCGAGTTGAGCTGGGAGACATTCTGGGCCCACGGACAGCTAATGCGCTACTGCTAAGGAAAAGGAAGCGCTGTGGTGGGCGCGGTGGGCGCAGCCGGCCTGGCGCGGTCCTCGGCACCTGGGGGGAGGCTGGAACTGAGGCGGGGAAGCGTGAAGCACCCAGGCCCGATGGCCGGCTGCGAGACACTGAATGAGGATGGGCCTGTCTGGGCTTCAAACACTGCACGTGGAGACTGCGACCAGTTATTTCTCTGGGCCTCCGCTTCTCCGTCTATGACCTGGAGTTACTGTTAAGGCTGAGAGACAATGTCGGCCACACTGCCGTGTCTGTGAAGAGGCCGTCGGGTGGCCAGACCCCCGGGTTCTGCACCAGGCGTGTGAAGGGTGGTCTCAGAGGCCGTCACTGGAAAAGTAGGCAACATCTCGTCACTTAAGGCGGCCGTAAACAAGCAACCACAAGAAAGAAGTCGGGTTTTACAGACATTGATATATTCATTAAAATCAAAGTAATCATAACACATGATGGTCAATTTCAATATGTTGGTTGAAAAAATTATGGTTTAGGGAGTAAACAGCACAGTCCTTAGCCAACTGAGTCAAACGATTTGGGATGTAGTGCCTACAGGCGAGAAGAGGTTGACATTACGTGGCAGGTCTACATGCTGGCTCCCCTCTGCCGTCTCGTTCAATCCCCACAGCAACCCCGAAGCATAGATTCTGCCCCTTTTGTAGACAGAAGACTGCAGGGCGTGGGGAAAGCAGGGCCTGAGTTGGGACGCACCCTTGACAGGTGTCTCCTTGGCCTAAGCCACCTGCAGAGTGAAAGTTTGCACACTCCCTTTTCTTTTTTAAGTCCTCACCCGAGGGTATTTCTCCACTGATATTCAGATAGAGAGGGAGGGAGAGACACATCGATTGGTTGCCTCCCACTCAAGCCAACCCCCAGGGGGATCGAACCACTGCCCTTGACCCCACTCAAGCTAACCCCCAGGGGGATCGAACCACTGCCCTTGACCGGAATGGAACCCAGGACTCCTTGGTCCACAGGCCTATGCTCTAACCACTGAGCAACCGGTCATGGCTGCACTTCCCTTTCACAGAGGCCCAAACAGCCACGGAGAGCTCAGGGCTCGCTCAGGAGGAGGCCACCATCAGTGGAATCGAAGCCCATGATCTGGCAGCCGAGCACATGGTTGTTTAAAGGCTCCTGGCCTGGGCCTGTGGAAAAGATGTTAGGTAAGGGAAGGAGGCCCACCTGGGCACGCTCCGCTGCTGTCTAACTCCACCCGGGCCTCGGTGTCCTCATCTGTAAGGAAGCACACCAGTCCCGCAGTCCTGGCGGATGTTACTGACCAACGTCTCTTTCCCGTCAAGCTGGCCGAGCAGCGGTTCCCAGCAGCACATCCGGTAAAACACACTTGCCACCTCTGCCTGGGGTGCTCGTTAGCGTCCTTTTTAGCTGTGTGCAAAAATTCCAGGTTTTCTAGGTCATGGAAACTGTCCACTGTACTGGAACACCCATATTGATGAGGATTGTTTACTGCTTTAGGGAGATACACTTGTCTAAATCACATATAGACCTTAGGTTGCGGTCTGCTCAGGTAAGAAGAATTAGATATGTTTTTATCTTAAAGTTAGTATACATTAATTAATGTTGCAAAGGTCATTCTTGTGTGTTTCGAATCTCACCTGCTTCGGGGTTTTATTCTACTTCAGATCTGAAAGTTCATCTGCAGACCACTGATTATGGCAACTTTTTGGCGAATCAAACAAACCCTCTCACCGTTTACAAAATCGACATGGAGATGAGGAAGAAGCTGTGCAGAGAGTTTGAGTACTTCCGGAACCATTCGCTGGAGCCCCTGAGCACATTTCTCACCTACATGACGTGAGTGGTGGCGGGAGTCCCGGTGGGAGGCGCCACGTGTGCAGGTGGGGTCTTAGCTGTGGTTTGGGGCTAAGACCTTCTCTGTGTTTGTGAGTTTGAATACATTCACACCGCAGCAACTGATAAACTCAGGGAACCGCATTCCCCCTGTTGGAAAACAGATTTCACCCACTTCTCAGCATGACCAGCAGGTGGCGGTGGTCCAGACAGCAGTTTTCCATTTTCATTTTTGAGATGACCCATGGAGCTGATGATTCAAGTGTTTGGGTGGTTGAGACCGCCAGCAGACACCATGTGACATTTTTGAAATCTTCTTTTCCTGTATTGATTTTAGAGAGAGAGGAAGTAAGTGAAAGGGAGAAAGAGAAACATCAATGAGAGAGAACATCGACTGGCCGCCTCCTGCATCCCCCCACTGGGGATTGGCCCACAACCTGGGCATATGCCCTGACCAGGAATTGAACTGGCAACCTCTTGGTGCAGGGTTGATGCTCAACCACTGAGCCACACCAGCCAGACACCATGTGACATTTTTGGATCACTTGTCAGGGTGGGGCTGAAATGTCACAAATTGTTCTTCAGGCCACCTCAGCCCTTTCCTGGCCCCCCGGCGACAGGATAAGGAGCCCCCACCATGGTTATGCATGTCCGTGTTTATCGTTCCGTCACCAGGCTACCGTCTTTCAATGTGAAGGCCGTTCATTCTAAATCATGTGAACTTGGACACGATAGGAAACGGCACTTTCATTCACCCAGCTAATAAATTATACCCAGTGCTCGAAACGTGGAGCCCTCCAGCTGACAAGCTGGGATCAAAGGTGGGTGGGAGCTGAGCTGTAGGCTAGGTATTTACAGCGGTCTGCCCAGTGGGTGACTGATCTGTCCTTGGCTCTGTGCCAACTTTCCCTGTTGGCTTCAGTCAGCCCCCAGGGGTCGTGACTGACCGCAGTAACCTGTCTGCAGAGTACTGGCCGTCACCTGTGCCAGGAAAGAGGTCTGAGGCCCTGCTGGAATGGCCAGAGAGACCCAACTCCGCCTTGCTGCTGAGCCAGACCGCTCCTCCTTTGATCTTGTCAGCTTTATCTTTTCAATGGATAAGAAGAACATGTACATTTTTTTAATAAATTTTTTTCCCATTATTGATTTTAGAGAAAGAGGAAGGGAGAGAGAGAGAGAACATCGATCAGCCGCCTCCTGCACGCCCCCACTGGGGTTCGGGCCCACAACCTGGGCATGTGTCCTGACCGGGAATCAAACCAGTGACTTCTTGGTGCAGGGTCGATGCTCAACTACTGAGCCACACCAGCTGGACAACATGTGTATTTTTTAAGACTTTTTTTTTATTTATTGAATTTTTTGAGGTAACATTGGTTAATAAAAGTCATATAGGTTGCAGGTGTACAATTCTTAACACATCATCTGTATATTGTATTGTGTGTTCACCACCCCAAGTCAAGGCTCTCTCCTTGACCCCCTGTTCCCTCTTCTCCCTGCCCACCCCTTCCCTCTGGTATCACCACGCTGCTGTCTGTGTCCATAAGTTTGTTTGCTTATTTAATCCCTTAATTTATGTAGTGCTCACTACAAACCAGCACTCACAGTCACTGTATGCGTATTGATGATTTAGTATTTACAGCAACCTCCTAAGTGGCACTGATGTTCCTGGCACTTCACAGACGAGGGGACAGCCAAGACTGGGCTTTGGCACACGCTCTCCGAAGGCCAGAGGCCGGAGCTAGCCCCTCCCAGACTCGCTGCATTTCCAAACCTTCTTTTGTAAAGAAAAGATACGTATGTGTGCAAACAAATATAAGTATATGTGTGTGTATATACTTATACATACATAGTTGGTTTATTGTTTGTTTTAGAACAGAGAGATCTCTTGTGTGTATTGCATAATTCAAGTTGTCTTTTCTTATATAATCTATTAAAAATTTTCTAGATAGTACATATAGAGCTATCTTTTCTTTTTCTAAGATTTTTATTCATTTTTACAGACATGGGTAGGGAGATGGAGAAAGAGAAAAACATCAACACGAGAGAGAAATATTCATCAGCTGCCAACCCGGGCACGTGCCCTGACTGGAGATCGAGCCAGCGCCCTCTCAGTGCAGGGCTCAAACCAGCTGAGCCACACCAGCCAGGGCCCTATAGCGCTGTCTTATTCGAAGCCTAGCTTGTGTCCCATTGTGTTGGGTGTGCCATCAGTTATTGAACTGGTCCCCTTTGTTCACCGAGATGGTTTCATTTCTTTGCTATTTCATTCAGTTCTACCACAGACTTCCTTGTACATACCTCAGGGCTTTCTCGTGCCGGGATTTCTTTAGCGCGGATTTCGGCAGCAGCATTGCTGGGTCACTGGATCTAGAGTTTAGATTCTTCCAGCAGATGCTCTCCCAAACTTGTGTGTCTCCCATCCCTTCAGCCCTGTCTTTCCTTCCTTGCCATAAGAAATATGGTTTTCTCAGACCTGTCACGACTGTCGTCGTGAGCACGACAAAGGCAAGACTGCTCACCGCGGCTCCCGACGGGAGCAACGGCGTCGGAAACGCTGTGCGTGCTGACCCCTCTGCTGGGCGAGAGCACTCGTCGGTGTTTCCCTATGGGTTTCGTAATGTTCACAAACATGGCGAGGGAAGGGTGACCTTCGAGCAGCCTCCCTAAAGTTACTATTCTCCTCAATGGAAAGGATAGAAAAAGCTAGGACTCGGCACTGTGACCCCAGAAAAGGAGCTCGGGGAAGATGCCAGGTGGCTGTCATGTCCTTGGGTTCTGCTTACCCAGTGGGCACCAGAGTTGACATGACTGTACGAACAGACAGAAAATGTATTAGTTGATCGAAAAAAATCATCATTGTGTCTGTGTTCTATGCATGCATGGTTCAGGCCTCTTGGAGGCCAAACTATGTACTAAACAAAGTCTCTGTCTTTAAGGATATTAAAACTAGTAAAGATCAGTAGGAGTTATCTCTAAATGACTGTACTTGTGATGACTGTGTAAAATAACTCATCCTCATGTTCACCATTGTTAATGCCAATGCATATTGAAAATTAACTTCAGTTTGGCCAGTGTGGCTCAGGGGTTGAACATCCACCCATGAACCAGGAGATCACTGGTTCAATTCCCAGTCAGGACACATGCCCAGGTTGTGGGCCCGATCCTCAATGGGGGGCATGCAGGAGGCAGCCAATCGATGTTCTCTCTCATCGATGTTTCTGTTTCTCTCCCTCTCCCTTCCTCTGTCTCTCAAATCAATAAAGGAAAAAGAAAATTAACTTCACCCTGGGATAAATATAAATACAAAAATTTAGAGAGAGACTAAAATCTAGCCAGAGGCTATTTTATTTTATTTTATTATTTTTTTGATCCTCACCTGAGGACATACTTAGAGGAAGGGAGAGGGAGAGATCAACATCAACCTGAGAGAGAAACATTGATCAGTTACCTCCCATGCATGCCTCGGGTGACCAGGGATCAAACCCAAAACCCAGGTATGCGCCCTGACCGCAAAAAGACCCACAACCTTTAGGTGCCCAGGATGATGCTCCAACCAACTGAGCCACTCTGGCCGGGCGACCTGGAGACATTTTAAAAGCTTAATGAAAAATGTGTTATTCGAGCCCTGGACCCTCCGAAGGAAGGTCCGTCCCTGCACTTCTCGGCCTCAGTGCTTGGACTGTGCTGGGTGCTGAGCCCGGGAGTGAACAAGCACCCAGCACACCCAGGCAGGGCTCAGCTCGTAAAGAATCACATGGAATAGAGATCGGGACTCCTGGGGAGGGGGTTGGGGGCTAGGAAGTTCACTATCTGGTCTCATAGGAGGAGAAGACAGAATCTTTTTCATAAGTAAGTATATGAAGTATTTAATAAAATATATTTACATTTAAAATTTTTTTTTAACTTTTTCTTTATTGATTTTTTTTTTTTTTTTAGAGAGAGGAAGGGAAAGGGAGAGAGAGATAGAAACATCGATGAGGGAGCACATCGATTAGCCCCCTCCTGCACACCCCCACTGGGGATCAGACCCACACCTTGGGCATGTGCCCTGACCGGGAATCGACCCGAGACCTCTTGGTGCAGGGTCGACGCTCAACCACTGAGCCATAGAGGCAGGAAATATATTTCATTTTTAAACTTATTTTAAATATTTTAAATTGTGAGTCCTTGATGATGGGCTTCACGGCAGGCTTACATGGCCAGTTTTCCTAGTAGGACAAAAGGTCCCGGGTGGGTGTTTCTTGGCTTTTTCGGCCCACGGTCCACCCACTGATGAAGCAGGTGCTGGACACGCTCGCTCCACCCCACCGCGTGACGGTTTCCGCGCAGGGGCCGCCCTCTGTCTGTTAATCAGTTGCTAGGACGCTGACTGCTCCCTCCAGCTCTGGCCCCCGGAGGCAGGCCTGAGCCACTCACAGCTCACACCCAGAGCCCCAAGCAGGAGACTCACCTGCCTCCCCCAGGGCGGCGGCGGGTGCTCCCACGCGTGGGTGCGCCTGCGCGATGCCGTTGTCCTAAGGGCGGGGCCTTCCTCACAGGTGCGGCTACATGATCGACAACGTGGTTCTGCTGATGGTGGGCGCGCTGCAGGGCAAGTCCGTGAAGGAGATGCTGGGGAAGTGCCACCCGCTGGGCCGCTTCACCGAGATGGAGGCGGTCAGCGTGGCCGAGACCCCGTCCGACCTGTTCAGCGCCGTCCTGGTGGAGACGCCCCTAGGTAGGGAGGAGCCGCCCCATCGGCTCTGCTGTCGCTGGGGCTGGGACATGTGCGCCCAAGCACAGCTCGCCCGGGACAGCCTCCCCTCTGGAGACGGCTGGCGGGAGGGGACGAAGGACACCCCGAGTCCGGCCCTGCTTTCTCTGATCAAGACCAACAGGGTTGCCTGCCAGGGTCCCCTGCCAGCCGCGCCTCAGACACGGAGCGGAGACTGTCTGCCATCTCCACACCCTTGCCCTTGGCACCAGCCCCAGCACAGAAATGATCGCACTTGCAACTTTCCAAAACATTACTTTTGTAGCTGGGTTTTGCTTTTCCTTTTTTTTTTTTTTTTTTTTTAAATCAGTAGCTTCTTTTCTTTTAATTAATTTATTTTTGTTACAGATGTTTCTTTTTCCCCCACTGATTCCCCCTCCCCCTCCCTCCCCACCCTACCCACAGCTTTGTTGTCCATGTCCATTGTTCATGCACACATGCATATAAGTTCTATGGTTTATCTCTCCCCCACCACCCCCTCTTCTGGGGATTGTCAGTCTGTACCCCACTTCCATGTCTCTGGGACTACTCCATTCCTCAGATTGTTATGTTCATTATATTCCACAAATAAGTGAGATCATATGATACTTGTCTTTCTCTGTTTGACTTGTTTCACTTAGGATAATACTCTCCAGGTCCCTCCATGTCGTCTCAAAGGACAAGAGACTTTCTTTCTTACAGCTGCGTAGTACTCCATTGTGTATATGTACCACAGCTTTTTTATCCATTCATCTACTGATGGAAATTTGGGCTGTTTCCCAACAAATCATCAAACAACAAGTGTTGGCGAGGGTATGGAGAAAAGGGGACTCTAGTACACTGCTGGTGGGAATGCACACTGGTGCAGCCACTATGGAAAACAATATGGTGTTACCTCAAAAAATTAAAAATTGAACTGCCATTTGGCCCAGAGATCCCACTTCTAGGAATATACCCTAAGAAGCCTGAAACACCAATCAGAAAGAATATATGTCTCCCCATGTTCGTATCGGCACTATTTACAATAGCGTCTTTTCTTTTAAACGTCTGTCTACACGCGGCTTCCCTGGACACACGTGGCTGGGGGAGCCTGGGAACGCGGCTCTCTGGAGGCGCTCCGGCCAGCTCGGATGCCTGAGGCGCATTGGCGTGCGGGGCCGGCCAGACACTCTCCACTGTTGGCGGGTGGATGGGAGCAGTGCACCCTCTGTCACAACACTTGCCATTTTGGACACAAGTTGTATGGAAAAAATGTGTCACCAAGTGTCCTGTGCTAAGGGCGCTGGTCACAGAGAAAGGGGGTGGGTCTGGAATCTGCCCCCGTGAGCAGGAAGCCCGGCTTTGCCGGGTCCCAACAAGGTGACCTGAGCCATTCAGTTCCCTTCAGTTCCCCACTGAGGAGTTCTGAAAATGAAGTAAGGCACTGAATACGGACTCCATGTTTGGCTCAAAGGAAGGGCATAGATGATAGGTGTTGCTCTTAGATAATGGGGAGACTTCAAAAAGTCAGCCTGGATGTGAACAGCCCCCAGTGTCATGGGGACTCGCTGAGTTACAGTGTATCCCATGTGCTGCCAAGGGCGTACACATAGTAAACGCTTAATAAATGGTCACTGCCATGACCGTCACTCTTAAGGGGTTGATGGCATCTGTGGGTTGAAACTCCAGGGCCTCAGGGATTCCACTTCCAGGAATATACCCTAAGAAGCCTGAAACACCAATCAGGAAGAATACATGTACCCCTATGTTCATAGCAGCACTATTTACAATAGCTAAGATCTAGAAACAGCCCAAGTGTCCATCAGTAGACGAATGGATAAAAAAGCAGCGGTACATGTACACAATGGAGTACTACGCAGCTGTAAGAAAGAAAGATCTCTTACCCTTTGAGATGACATGGAGGGACATAGAGAGCATTATGCTAAGTGAAATAAGCCAGTCAGAGAGAGACAAATATCACATGATCTCACTTATTTGTGGAATATAATGAATAAAACAGATCCAGAGACATAGAAAGGAGTACGGTTCAGACTGACAACCCTCAGAGGAGGCTGGGGAGGGAAGAGATAAACCAAAGAACTTATATGCATGTATGCACAACCAGTGGACATAGACAATACTGGGGATGGGGTGGGATGGGGAGGAGGGTGTCTAGGGGGGAAAAGGAGAAACATCTGTTCCAAAAATAAATAAATTAATCATAATAATAAAAAAAAAAACTCCAGGGTCCTTGTCAAGTGACTGCGGGGGCATTGCACTCAGGAGACATTTTCTACAGTTTATGGTCATGCTTTTGACTAATTCATTTGTGATGACTTCTGGTTTCAGCTCCATTCTTTCAAGACTGCATGTCTGAAAATACACTCGATGAACTGAATATTGAAATACTGCGCAATAAACTGCACAAGGTAACTGTTTTTCTTCACTGCTCAATATGTCCTCACCAGAGTTCTTTGTTAGAGGTGACTTTGCCCATCAGCCAACTCCTGCTACTAGAAGTGAGGTGTATTCCGGAGACATGCAGGTCAGCTTCCCACCCAGAAGGGGGCAGAGAGGAGCTAACGGCCTGTTCTCTGTGCCCTCCCCTGCCCCCTCCCTCTGCCTGGAAGTAAAGTGTTGGTTGATGCATGGATTTGAAAACAGCCAGCGTTTACAGTGAGCCCCCTGTTAGGCAGAGTTCGTCCCTGTCCTCCCTCCTGTTAGAGTCCCTGAGTGCCCAGTTAACCTATCCACACAATTTTAACCTGCAGACAGTGGACAGCACAGCAAGATGCATAATCTGGCCACTGACCGTCTGAGTATCTCCATGTAACAGGCACTGAGTAAAACCTGCCTTTTCACTTGGACGACTACAGCGTCTCTGGACGTTCTCACAGAACGGCTGGATGAATACAGGCTGCCATGCCATCCATAGCACATGTTTTGCTGAATCACGTGGTCTTCTTAAAAGCATCACTGCAGGCAGTTCCGTATTATAAAGAGTTTACGGGCATCCTGCAGGCATCCCAGAACAAGCTAGCAGAAGCCACTGTTTGAGGCAATGCATAGGCATTAACTCACTTTATCCAGCAAAACTGTGCTGTCCCCATTGCGCAGAGGAGACAACGGAGGCGTGGAGGTGAGGGCACGAGGCGAAGCAGGTTCGCCAGTGAGTGAGAGTTGGGCACTCGGCACAGGCATGCTGACTGCTGCCCAGACGCTGTCTTCCTACTGTACCCTCCGTGCCCAAAGCCACTCCAGATTGAGAGATGAAATGTCAGCACAGGAACTACAAGAGTTACTTGTTGAGCTTGTAAAAGAGTCCAGCATTCTTTTGTTAGAGTAGCAAGAAGTAACCATGTGAGTGCATCCCAGATCCATGCAGAAAAGTGGTTGTAAGTAACCTCAGGTGTGATCAGTACAATTCTATTCTCTTTCAGACTGTCCGGCGTGCTTTAATATGAAAATGCATTCTAAATTTTATTATAAAATATCTCCCTATGGGGGAAGTGATCTGACGTCCAGTTAAGCGTTTAATAAGCCTTGAAAAGCTGACCTAGAAATTTCCACCAGGAGCATATAGTCATGTTACTGTTTTATGATCTTTATTCTTTTTAAGTCTTACCTGGAAGCATTCTACAAATTCTGTAAGAATCACGGAGATGTCACAGCAGAAGTTATGTGTCCTATTCTCGAGGTAAGAGAGTCCTTGAAGGTAGATGCCAAACAGAAGGTTTATGTTTTCACATGCCTCCTGTATGTCACCCTATGGGTGCTGCTTTCTCTCTGAAGCTCCTTTACGTACAACAAGAAAAGCAAGATATTTTACTATATGTATGCCCATTGATGTTTTTGGGTAACAGTGGTATTCTCCAAGTTTTCTACATTGAAGGGTTAGTTTGGAATTAGAAAAGAATAATGCTTATGAAAGTTTGATTTGATTCTTATGGCTGCATTGTATGAAGAAGGATCATAATTAGTTAAAATTTAGTACACAGTGGCAATGAGTGTGTTACAGGAGCTCAGAAGGGTCACCCAGCTTCCCTCCAGTGAGGAAACATTAGGCCGCTGGGACCCCACAGCTGGCACTGAAGTCGCGGTGCGCAGCGTCCCCTCCAGAAATCCTAACATAAAGGCACCCAAGCAGCCCTCAAGCACCCCAGTGCTGGGTAGAAAGACTCCAGTTAGGAGTTCAGCGCTGGCTTCTGGCCCTCCAGCTGATGGTATTATACTCTAATTCCCCTTTGTCATCACACATTTCATCTGTGTTCAGAGGCCTCTTGTTTCAAATGTTCTCTGCGAATGCACAGGAAACCCGGGCGTCAGAAGGGCCTCGGGCATGGGCACCGCTGGCCTTCACCACGGCGCATGCCGAGCGCGCCGGCCTTCTCGGGCACGCGGACTTAAAAATCAGTATCTGTATTGTAATATACTGTAGAATGCTATCTAGTACTTATATGTCGTATAGAGAGATATATTATTTATATAATACATTATTCTATATTGTGTTAAAATATATATCAATATTTAAATAAATATACACCAAAATAAATATAAAACTTTTTTACATTGATTTTAGAGAGGTAGAAAAAGAGAGAAAGACATCAATTTGTTGTTCTGCTTATTTATGCTTTCATTCGGTGATTCTTGTTTGTGCCCTGACTAGAGATCGAATCCACAACCTTGGTGTATTGGGATGACGCTCTAACCGACTGAGCTACCCAGCCAGGGTGATGCATAATCCAATTTTAAGTTATAAACTCTGGGCTTAGAAAAGCCCCGTGAAGCCAAGTTTTATCTCTAATCATTAGATTATGTTACAATGACCTAATGGGTGGATAGATCCTTGACTAGTTCAATGACCTCTGATTTCAACAAAAACCTGAGAACTACCCTTTAGAAAAAAAGAGGTGGAAAAAAATAAACAAAAAACCTGAATAACTTCATCTGCACATATTGTAACCTAATGTTCTGAAACTGCCACGGTAAAATCAGTTCCCCTAAAAACAGCTGTCACCTAAGTTTTAAGTTGAGGACACCACCGTCCCCACTGAAACTCTTCAAGCAGAGCAACTCCTGAAGTGGGAAGTTGATCACTGGAGAACCCCAAAAGACCTGTGTCCTTACCAGTCCACACAGGTGGGCACCATGCATCAGTGACACTTCCTCACGGTATCGTGGATGTCAGCACATGTGGGAGTGAGTGTCCTTCAGACCTGCCGGTCACATCACACAAGGAACCTGGGGACCCCAGAAGCTCTCTCCCTTCCTCGTCATAAATGTCACCCTCGAAGACGCCACATTATTCACGGTTCAAAGGATGGTTTCCACACGGCCTAATCCCGTGGGTTAGAAATGGGCCGTATACTCGACACCAGCAAAGGTGTGAGACAGGAGTTGTGTTAAAACCGACAATGACACTGTTCTGACTAACAGGTCTTATGTGGCTGCCCTACACTCTGTATATATGTGAATTCACCTGGACTTCAGAGTAGCACAAAGAGATGAGTAGTTTGGGGTCTAGTTTTCAGAAGGGGTGACTGAGGCACAGGGAAGGCTGGGACGGGCCTCGTCGGTCGGCGGCAGTGGGCAGGGCCGGGACGTGAGCGCAGACAGCCCGGCCGGGCTCCGGGCCTGCGCGGCCCTCCGCTGCGCTGTGTCATCTCTACACCGAGTGCACACTTCTCTGTAAAGTGAGGGCCGAGTATCAGCAAGGTCCCACTGCATGTGCTCTGGAACCTCAGAGCCCCACGAGGATGAGGTCTCTGTCAAAAGACTTGTCACTGGGCAGGTCTGACGGAACTGCTGCCTCCCGGTGGTCTCAAGCCCCTGGACACCCACGACACTTCACGTTACATTGGGTTTCTCTCAAGCTGTGTTAAAAATAAAAATCCATCGAACCATCTTGATACATTTATATAGAAACATCAGTTCCACATGGCACTGATTAGGACCAGATTTGTCAGATTTATATAAACGTATTAGATCGTGTAATTACCTCCCCCTTTATTTGCACAATCCGAGAGTTTATAAAGTTCCCACACGTGTGTTCTCGTGTGCTCCATGTGACAGGAGAGATTCACTGTGTGGGAGAGCGGACCTGGGCTTCCACGCAGACATTTGACCTAATTACAGGTTGTAACTTTGTATAAAAATAAGTTCACTTACATTCAGGGCACAGGAGCCGCCTTTTAGTCCTGCGCTTCTGACAGTCCCTCTGGTTAAAGGAACAGTGACAACGAGCACAGAATCTGTGTGTCTCATCTTCCTGGTCAGTGCGCAGGCTGACCAGACCGGGCTTGCTGCCAGCTCACGGCACTGTCCTCCAACTCCATGGCCACCAGCCCCACCCTGCTCCCTCCAGGTGCGAACTGGCAAGAACGGGTCACCTGACAGCCCAGCTCTGTCAGGTGCACCTGAGTGGTTTTTGAAGAAGTCGGCAGCACACGGTTACCTTCTGCAACAACAAAGGTTGTGGTTTCATGATGAATGCATGTTTGTAAGGACATGTGAAGGAAAAGACGGGACATCTGATATACCTGTGCCACAGGTGCCAACACCCTGCAGATGACACAGGCTTTGGAGAGATGGACCTGCCCCAGGTGCTCTGCTCCAGAATCGGTGTGTCAGGTGTCAGGTGTCTGGCTGGGCATGGCCAAGGACGTGCAACCTTGTTCAACTCCAAATAACAGTCTCTTTTAAGAGCACAGACGCACACGCCCGCAAAGAGCCTGTAGACTGGAGGGATGCAGTTGGAATAAAAGGGAAATTACAGTGTGATAGGGTCAAAGGAAACATACCAGCTGAAGAACACAAGAGGGCTTTTTACGAAAAAGGTGGTTTCCTATGGGACCCTCAAAAGCAGGTAGGATTTCAGCAAGCTGAGTTAGGGAATGGGGTCAGGGGTATTGTAGGCACAGGAAAGATGTGTTCTCCAGGCGGGAGCTCAGTGAGTGGACTGTCCTGTCCCGCTGTCTCCGTCAGGGCCCTCTCCTCCGTCACTACCTGCGAAGCCTGTGTCCACTGTCCTGTCCCTCCCGTGTCTCCACCGCGTCCCTGGCTTGGAGCTGTGACCATGCTCTGCGGGCCTGCACAGCTGCCCAGGACCATTTCTGTCCATAAACACTACCATCTGACCTCGAGGAAGAGCCCTCTTGCCCATCTCCTGTCCCCCTGCGAGTCTGGCGTTGCCCACAGGCTGGTTCTATCCAGTGTCCGGCTGCCTCGCCTCTGGCTGGCCCAGAGAGGTCAGGAACTAGCTCCCTTGGCGTGGGAAACGCCTCACCCAAGAGTCCAGTCCAGTCTGCGGCAAGCTGCGCCGGTGACCGGTCAGTGAGGAGGAGCGGGTCAGAGGGTCTCTGAAGCAGCAGCATCACAGAGCACGCTGTTGGGTTTGGTGCACATTTATGCTCTTCCCATGTCTCGCGCTCTGAGTGCTCAGAAATGCACAGGGAACAGGGATGACCTGGTCCCGCAAAGGGTTAGAGTGTAGTGGGGAGAAAAACCCACGCAGGTTTTAAAATGAAGTATCACGGACAGGGTGGGTGCCTCAGGGACAGAGAGTGTCTCAGCCCATGGGCACCACGGCCAACAGCCAGGTCCAGGCGAGGTGGGACGTCAGAGGGGAGAACCAGGAGAAAGGAAACTCAGAGACCAAAGGGACGGAAGGGAACTCCAAGGAAGGCTGAGCGGCAGGTGAACCGCAGAGGCCTGCGTGGGGGCGGGGGGGCTCCGCTCCCCATGGAGAGGACAGGCTGTGAGCTCCTGCGACCGCCTGAGACTGCACCGGGCCAAACCCGTCACTTACAGACGGAGAAACTGAGGCCGAGAGGGAGCTAGCCTGCCCTGAGCCGCAGCATTCTCATCTGCTGAGTTAGATTTCTTGATATGTAACCCAAATGGTCCTGGCAGGGTTTCATTATGTGAAAAGTCCTGCTGACACCGATGACCCGAAGAGGATGTGAACAGGTTGGGCATTCACGGTCTCTTCCCACCCCGCCAGGCGTTTTCACATACACGTCTTGTTCTGTCCCTGCGTGGACCCTGCCGGTAGGCATTACTCTGTTTTTATGGAAGAGACATTGGAGACTAGAGGGCTATGGGACAGGGACATGAGTGAGTGAGTGTCTGGGAGCTGAAAGTCAGTAGGGTTTCAAGAGCCACTGGCCATTGGCCCTGCGGTGTGATCCTTCCTTGGCTAAGAGTCTCTCATCCCTAACACACGACTGTATTACAGTTGGACACAGATCCGAAAGGAGAGCAAATCATTTCGAAAACGATGTGTCTCTTTAGGGCTGTTTGCAGATGGTGAGATCTCACTGACTGTGTCTCTTACAAACTCAGTTTGAGGCCGACAGGCGTGCGTTTATCATCACTCTGAACTCCTTCGGCACGGAACTGAGCAAAGGTGACCGGGAGGCCCTCTACCCGACCTGTGGCAAGCTGTACCCCGAGGGGCTGCGCCTGCTGGCCCAGGCGGAGGACTTCGAGCAGATGAAGAGGGTAGCGGACCACTACGGGGTAGGTGCTCCCCATCCCCCACCCCCGGGTGACCTCGTCACCTGTGCTCTAGAAGTCAATGGTGAGGCTGGTAAGGAGGAAAGCTGTAAAGATGTCTCACTGCGAGCTTCTGGCCAAGCAAGTCCTGGTGAGGCTCCGAGGAGCCTTTGACAGGCTTGATAAAGCAAATTCCCCAAGAGATGGGGGTCCTGGAAATGCGCCCTCACATCAGGGTTGGGTAAGCTAGCCTGACCCAGCATTTTCTGAAGCACCCTATGGGTAAACGGCGAGGAACCCTGGATAGGGGTACATTGGCTGACTTCGCCCTGGGCTCTGGCCAGAATGGGGAGTGGAGAGAGGCACCCCGCCCAAAGCTCCTCCACTCAGGTGGCGCTCCTCCTCCCATCCCATCCCTTCCGACTCAGACCACTCCAGAGCTGCGAGGACCCTCCTCTCATCCCTCCCTGCGATTCCCAAAGCCCTCTGGAGACATCGACGCCCGCAAACCGTGCTCAGACTTCTGCAGCATCCCCTGTCCCTGTGAGGGGCTGTGCGCACAGTACTCGAATGTGAGCATCCCCAGGCTGCCGTCTTCCACGCTGAGAATCCCACATGGACGGCACCGGCTGCCGCCTCGAAAGCCTGTGAGCCCACCTGACGGAGCAGCATAGAGCCCTTGAATGAGGCTGACAGGCCCTGAGACCTGCGTGTGGGAATGAGCTCGCGCTGCGTGCTGAGGAGGATGCTTCGCGCTCCGACCCCCTGGGTCCACGCACGCGATGGGCTCCATCCCACCCACAGTCCCGTCTCTGGGAGATTTGGAGACCCGAGATTTACAAAGACATATCCTTCTGGCACTAAGTTTTTTAAGTAGGTGCATGGTTTCTGTATCACTAGGGAAAGACCATCACCCACATTGAGGATTTGTTAAGAAATAGTCTCTTTTCTCTCTTTTCAAGGTGTACAAGCCCTTGTTCGAGGCTGTGGGCGACGGCAGTGGGGGGAAGTCGCTGGAGGACGTGTTTTATGAGCATGAGGTAGGACAGCCGTGGAGACGCTGCCGGTAGGCTCCTGCTGTTGCCCGGGTTTGAGGGTTTGAACCTCTCCTTACGCTGGGAGTTAGTCAGGTCTCTTCTCCGGGGGGACTTGTGGTTCTTCTGTGGTGGCTCCCTGCAGAAATGTCCTGTCCAGAGAGGCGTGCACAGAATGTCGTCTGGGAGGTGTGTGGCTCTAACACGTGAGAGAGAAGCACCGATGTGAGAGTGAAACATTGATCGGCCGCCTCCTGCGCACCCTCCACCAGGGATTGAGCCCACACCCCGGGCCTGTGCCCTGACCGGGAATCAAACTGGCAACCTCCTGGTACCAGGGACAACGTGCCACCAACTGAGCCACACCAGCCAGGGCAAGAAATCTTTTTTTTTAATCCTCACTAGATATTTTTCTATTTATTTATTTATTTATTTATTTATTTTTAGATAGGGAGGGAGGGAGGGAGGGAGGGAGACACATTCATGTGAGAGAGAGACATCGGTTGGTTGCCTTCCACATGACCTAGACCGGGGCTAGGAATCGAACCCTGGACGCTTTGGTCCATGGGCCCCTGCTCTGGTGCTGAGTAAAACCAGCCAGGGCAGGAATGATTCTTGTGGAAATCCTCAGAGTCCAGATCATTCTCTCCCCAAAAAGGCAGAGGGTACCTAAGTTACCTACAGTCCATTTCTGGGTTCTGAGCTGTTCACCAAAAGGACTTTATTTTTTTATTATATTGTATTATGTTTTTTGTGCCAGGTAAGGTTTCCTCAAATCTAGTGTATTCTGTTCATCTCCCCAAAACACTGACCCTTCTATTTCAATGGATCGGAACCAAGAGAGAACCTGAAATGGACCCTAAATGAGGTGCCACCCAGGCCCCAGCAGGCAGAGCGGGTCGGGTCGTCCTACTGAGACGTTCACGGCCCCCTCTAGGGACGGCAGTGGGAGCAGCTCAAGGGTCCTTGTGCACTAGGGTGCTCAAACCCCACTCTGCCCGCCTGCTGCCTAGGGGCTCTTGGGGAAGCTGTGTGGGCAGGAGGGCCCCAGTCTGCCCCAGCGAGGCCCCAGCTCCGGGCGGCTCTGCCAGAGGGTTTCACAGCTGCAGGAGGGACTTGGTACCTCTCCTTCTGTCAAAATGGAATAGGATACAGGAGTCATTCCATTTCAGGCTGCACCCCAGTTTACACTACTGTTTGGAATATTTATTTTACTTATCTCCCTTCTATGGAAAAAAGAGACAATTGAACTATAAGCCAGGTTGCAGCAGAGCATCCTAGGATAGCGCTCCACAGCTGAGTCCAAAGTCCAGGGGTCGGGACGCTGCCCTGGGGTCAGACAGACTGCAAAGCTTTGGCCAAGGAAAAATACTTTCCCTCGATGGGACAAGCCCACTAGCTAGAAGCCAAGTAAATATGACTCCAGAGGTGTGTGTACACACACCCCACCCCCAGGCCCTCAGAATCTGTACTCACAGGGCTGCTAAGATTTAGAGATTGCCTTGTCTCCTACAAACTTAACTTTTATTTTTAATTTTTTTTCCTTTATTGATTTTACAGAAACAGGAAGAGAGAGACAGAAACATGGATGAGAGAGAACATCGATTGACCGCCTCCTGCATGCCCCCCACTGGGGATCGGGCCCACAACCTGGGCATGTGCCCTGACGGGGATCGAATTGGCGACCTCTTGGTGCAGGGTCAATGCTCATCCACTGAGCCACACCGGCCAGGCCAAACTTAACTTTTTAAAAAAAATTATCTTTATTGTTGAGAGTATTACAGCTGTCCCCTTTCCCCCCACTGACCCCCTCCACCCTGCTCCCACAACCCCAAGCCTTCACCTGACTTCTGTCTGAGTCATGGGTTACGCATACATGCAAGTAAGTCCTTTGGTTAGTCCCTCCTCACCCTCCCCTCCGCTCCCCTCTGAAGTCTGTCTGTCTGGTCCATGTTCCATGTCTCTGGATCCGTTTCATTTGCCAGTTTATTTTCTTCATTAGATGCCACATATAAGTGAGATCTCGCGATACTTGTCCTTCTCTGACTGCTCATTTCGCTCAGCATGATCCTCTTTTAAATGACCTGCCTGCATGTGTCTGCTGGAGCACAGGCCCGTCTGAGGCGGCTTCTCTGTCACGGGAGCCCCCGGAGCGCTGACGACCTCTGTCCGCAGGTGAGCATGAACGTGCGGGCCTTCAGCAGGCAGTTCCACTGCGGCGTGTTCTACGCCTACACCAAGCTGCGGGAGCAGGAGATCAGGAACATCGTGTGGATCGCAGAGTGCATCTCCCAGCGGCACCGCGCGAAAATCCACAGCTACGTCCCGATTCTGTAGCCCAGCGGGCCGGGCCGGAGACCACGACTGGGAGAGGAAACCACCGAGCAAATGAAAGCGCTTGTGTTGGATGATCGAGGCCACACCAGCGGAAGCCACCGGCCTCCATGAATGGCAGACCCCACACACACATGGTGAACCACCCCGGAAACACAGCTCCCTTTCCCCCCGCCCTCACGTCTTGTTTGCACATTGCTGTCTCACTCTTCCGGGGCCTTAGGCATTAGTGTTCATTAAACTGTGGCACGTTCCCTACTTTTATTTTGTGTTCAAAATCAAATGTGCCCTATCCGGTGTTGCTCAGTGGTTAGAACACCAGCCATGCACTGAAGCGTTGCAGGTTCTACTCCTGATCAAGGGCAGGTTCAGTCCCCGCTCCCGTCAGGGTCTTGCGGGAGGCAACCAGTCGATGTTTCTCTTGCACATCAATGTTTCTCTTGCTTCCTCTCTCTCTAAAAAATCAATAAAAACATATTTAAAAACAGTAATAGCCCGGCCAGTGTGGCTCAGTGGTTGAGTGTTGTTGACCCTGCACCAAGAGGTCACCTGTTTGATTCCCGGTCAGGGCACATGCCCAGGTTGTGGGCCTGATCCCCAGTGTGGGGCGTGCAGGAGGCAGCCAATCGATGTTCTCTCTCATCAACGCTTCTCTCTCTCAAATCAATAAAGATTTTTTAAAAAACAATAATAATAATTATAATGCATGTAGGCCTGGTAGCTCAGGAGAGCTGCCCAACTCTGAATCAGATTCCCATCACGCAGTTCTGTTAAATTTGCTATAACTTCAACTCCACAGCATTCTCTAAAGAATAGCTATAGCTCTCTTTTTAACTGTTCCTTCATGCTTTGCCTGAGAAGAAAGGAACCTCACTAACTGTATTTTACACACTGAAAAGCATAAATCACAGGGTCAATTTGCAGCCCGTGGAGTCTATGAAACCGCAATAGCACCGGTGCACCGAGCTGCCACAGAAAGACGGCAGCACACGCTGCTCAGGTCCTCGCTTTCCAAATAGAAGAGCTTCCCAAACAGAGAACTCAGGCTGGCTGTTGTGGGGGAGGGAGAACGTCCCTCCACCTCAAGATTCTTCTGACTGGTTTAACAGTCAAATAGACGAGACAGATTGACGAGAGAAAATGACCAAATTGAATGGGTATGTGTGCATGGGGACCCCACATACGTGAGAGGGTCAGACAGAGGGGGTCTAGGTATAGAAGCCGTCCTGAGCTAGGGGTGAGGTCAAACATCTTGGGGGCTTCAAAGGGTCATTGCAAAATGATAAGAACAGATGTTTAGTAAATAAAAGTTCGTTGTTCCATATGGGTAGATCAGTAAGAGATCATCACTGAGAAACTTGTGGGCAAGGCCCCTGATTTGAGTTCTAGGTGGTTAAAGGGACGGGCAAACATTTCTTTTGAGCCTGATACTGAAATTGCCTTTAGCTCAAAACAAGCCATTGAGGCACATCGGGGTGACTCGTTCTGAACCCCCAAAGGGTTTCATTAGTAAAAACTGTATGTCTTCCACTTAAAAGAGACTGTCAGGAAGGTCAGATGCCACAGGTGAGTCAGGGGAAGGGATAGTCAGTCTCACTCTTGTGTTAGTGTTGGGAGCAAACAGCATCTGTCTTGTTGGATTCATCGCATTCATTCCGAGTCACGTTGGCAGAGGGAAGCGTCAGTCTGTCCGTGTCCCGAGCAGAGGGAACCCAGCTTAGTACTGACATCCCTTGTGTCTCCCAAGAGCTGAGGCCAGGAGTGTGGTGTCGTTTTGGACTGCTGCATGGTCATGACGTGTGCGGGCTTTGTAACTATGGAAATGGGGTGAAGCTACACCGCGCAGCCCAAGCCACCTGCCCGCTGCAGATCCTGCCTCTTCCCCGCAGGGACATCATTTCATCCGGCCTCCGGCAGTCCCCGCCACCCTGCTGCAGCCCCAGCCCCGACCACGGACACTGCTTTTATGGATTCCTAGGCCCTGGACAGTTTGGCTCAGTGGTTAGAGTGTCGGCCCACGGACCAGAGAGTCCCGGGTTCGGTTCCCGCTAAGGGCACGTACCTTGGTTGCAGTTTGTCCCCGGCCCCAGTTGGGGTTGTGTGAGTGGCAACCAGTTGATGTATCTCTCTCACAAAATATATATCTCTCTCTCTTCCTCCCTCTCTCCCTCCCGCTCTATCTGAAGGATAAATGCAAAAATGTCCTTGGGTGAGGATAAAAATAAATAAATGAAATAAATTCCCAGAATAGTAGAACCACTACCCACTTTATTCAATCACCTTTGCTGGGTCCAGGCCATACCGTGCTCAGTGTGACTGAGACTTCTGGTTGCAAATACGTCTCCCAGTGTTCAACACAATGCCAAACACAGAAAAGTCTTTGGAGTGTCAGTTATCAAAGCTTTGGTTCCTTAAGATTTTAAATGTGACATGTTAATAGCCAATTTCTACCATGACAGTTTAATTGCCCTGGCCCATCATATAGAACCCAACAATAAATTCTCTCACTTCTACTAACAAAGATCTTTCTTCTTTTGTTTTCTTTTTTCTTTTTTGTTAATCCTCACTAGGGGATTTTTTTTTCCATTGAATTTTAGAGAGAGTGGAAAGGAGGAAGGGAGGGAAAGAGAGAGAAAGAGAAAGAGAGAGACATCAATGTGAAAGAGACACATTGGCCCTGGCCGGTTTGGCTCAGCAGTCAGAGCATCGGCCCGCGGACCAGAGAGTCCTGGGTTCGGTTACTGCTAAGGGCACGTACCTCGGTTGCGGTTTGTCCCTGGCCAGGTTGGGGTCATGTGGGTCTCTCTCATATCGATGTTTTCCTCTCTCTCCTTCTCTCTCTCCCACTCTATCTGAAGATAAATGCAAAAATGTCCTCAGATGAGGATAAAAAAGTGAAAAAAAGAGACACATCGATTGGTTGCCTCCTGTATATGCCCCAACTAGGGCCAAGGATTGAACCTGCAACCGACCTTGACCAGGAATTGAACCCATGACCCTTGGGTGCTCCAACCACTGAGCCACCAGCCAGGGCCAGCAAAGATAGTTCTTGACTCCACCACCTGAATCCAATCCTTCATCATGTTCCGTGTGGACTGGGGCCACACACCTCCTGGCCTCTGTGCTGTCGCAGCCCTGACCGTACTGAAGGGGCTGCTAGGAACCTACAACCTTCTCCCCGTTTCAGCCGCTCCCGTGGCCTCCTACTGCATTGCGAATAAAATAAAAACTCCACGAGAACCGCCGGCTGGTGTGGCTCAGTGGCTGAGCATCGACCCTGCACCAAGAGGTCGCTGGTTCAATTCCCGGTCAGGGCACATGCCCAGGTTGTGGGCCCATCCCCAGTGGGGGGAGTGCAGGAGGTGGCCCATCGATGTTCTCTCTCATCGATGTTTTCATCTCTCTCCCTTCCTCTCTCTAAAATCAATAAAGAAAAATTATTTTACAAAACTCCAGGACCTGCAAGGCGAGGACGGTCGGCCTTGCTGCCTTTGCAGCCCCCACGTGCGGCCCCCCAACACTGTTCTGTGCTCACTGCAGATTCCCAGTCCGCAGAACTGCTCCACCGGCTGCACCCGTGCCCTTCTCTCTGCAGGGACGATTCCCTGGGTGCTCGCGGGCCGGTCCTTCCCGCAGGTTCCGTGGTCGCTGCGCCACCGTGTCGTCACGCTCCAGGGGGCTCTGGTTTCGGAACAGTGCGAGCCTCCAGCACACAGCGGGCTTACGGGGTGCCTTGCCCTGCTTTTCCCAGACCACCCTGTTCGGCACCTCCCAATTCTTACCACCGTTTGTAACCATCGAGGTGCCTATTTCTTGGTCATGCCGGCTTCCGCCAGCCGACCGGGCTCCCGCCAGGGGAGGAGGAGGTCCCTCTGCCTGCTGCTGCCTGCTGGGTGCGGGCGCAGAGCCTGGCACGCGGGGCAGCCTTGAAACTGTCTAACAGACCAGTGAGCAAACGCTCTGCCTGGGAGATCCTGGGGTTCAAGTCCTGGACCCACTCTTCCGATCGGGCAGCCCCAGCAGGGACAGGGTGGGAGGAGACACTCCCGGAGGAAAGGCGGAAGGAAGCAGCACAAGGAGGCACGTGGCTCTTATCTGGAAAGGCCAGTGGCTGCTGGTGACGGGCTGGTCTTGCCTTTTGGCCTCCTGACCCCGAGGTGTTCACAGGCCAGGGTTTGGATTCGGTTACTGGGCTGCTCAGGGCTCAGGCCGCCTGGCCTCGTGGCCTCCTGTTTCGTTCATTCAGCAGACAGAAAGGCCAGGAACTCACGGGGGATCGTCACACCCCTCAGGGCACAGGCGATGCAGCTAGTCTGCAGGGTCCCCGGCCTCCCTCGGTGGCACCGCCTCCGGCCTCCTGCAGCCTCAGAACGCCGGGGGCATGTCCCGGAACCCTTGAACCCAGAGGTGGGGCACGGATCGCATCGGCACCCACAGCTGCCTCGGAACCGAGCCGGAACCGTGAGCCCAGCACGGCTGCTGGCGAGAAGCGGCCGGCCATGGTGTGGGTGGTGTTCCCTGCCGGCAGGCACTCGCTCGGGCCCTCAGCCAGGACGATTCCATCGCGGGAACCCACCTGCCCTGGTCCACAAACACCGGTGTCCACAAAGGACAGACCCGTAGGACAGGCGAATCCACCAACACCGCTCCACGGTGTCCCCTGCGCGGCAAGATAAACCTGAGTAATGGCTTTTTGTTTGATTTGCTGCTGCCCAAACACTTCACATCTACCTGGAAATTCACAGGAGTCCACAGTCCATCAAGAGGCAGTTAATTCCCTTGTTTGCAGAGTACATTAAAGGAGGAAGAGTCATACTGGATTATCAAGGCAGATAAACTGCTACGCAGTTTGTTTCTTCAACTAATGACATTATCTCTCTCCTTCAACGTGTTCGAGGTGTGGGCACTGAATATTAATAAGTGTGTTAAGAGGGGAAAAAGATAAATGATCTTTAGAAAAAGGAGAGAGATAAAAATCATTTCAAAGAATTGCAAATGGCATTTAGGGTTCCCTCAAAGTCCCAGCGTTGCTGAAACCAGGGTACGTCTGCCCACCAGGCCCACGCACACCCCACAGGTCCCACCAACGACAGAAAGACATGCAGGACACTTACCCCAAGCTGAAGGAGAAGGACCTCAGACTGTCTGAAGTCATTGTTTGGGGGGTTCCCATTTATTACACACTCATAGTGGGCTCCCCTGATAGGAGGTACCACAAAGGCATCTGTTAAACAGAAAACAATTTTTGCCCTGGCCAGCTTGGCTCAGTGGTTACAGCGATGGCCCAGTCTGTGGACCAACAAGTACTTGGGTTGTGAGTCAGTCCCCGGCCCTAGGTGAGGATTAAACATAAATAAATAAATAAACAAACAAACAAACCATTTTCTTTCCTTAGATGTGGAACCCTTGGGGAGAGATGGAGGGCCGTCCCAAACCGTCGCCTTCAGGCC